TTTTTTTTTTTTTTTTTTTTTTTTTTGTTTTTTCTTTTTTTTTTTATGAAATTTCTCTCAAGTAATTAATTTCAGCACTTCAAATATTTTATAACAACAATTGAGGTGTCACTTTATTTTTCTTAACTATATTGTAGTGTTGTTTGCCTTTTATTTTTAAAATAGTCCCATTGACTATTCCGGATCACCATCATCTCCGCGCACAAACTTGCTCCACTTTTTCAGTTACTTTTTACAAGTGTTTCTTTAATCAAAAAAACGTGTTTGTTTGTAATGAATTGATTCTCTTTATGACAAATTAATCCTTCTATTTTCCAGCGTTAAGCACTTTGGCGTTTAAAAGAAGCTAAAAACCGAAATCAACCGTGCTCCAGCGGATTCTGTAAGTAGACTAAATAAGCCACATAGTCCGATATTGAAGATTAGTTGATTTTTTTCTGCTTAATTTTTGTTGTGCCAATGTGTTTGTTATTGTTGTATCGCCAATTTTTATTGCTGTCTTCCGCTACTTTTGCCTTATGTTTACCATTGTTGATGTTGTTGCTGTTATTAATGTTATTGTTAATGTTAATGTTATTATTGTTGTTGCTGCCAATAATTATCATCAACATTTAATTTGCCAACGCTTTAGCGTTTGGTTCTAGGGAGCTGCTACCTACGTTTGGCAAAAAATACGAATTAAAAAACGAAAACAACCAACAACAAAGAAAAATAAATAAATACCAACAAAATATGTGATGTATAAATAAAATAGCAGAGGAAAATGCTGCGCTGCCAAAGGTGTGCGCTGTTGAAAATTGGGGAAAAATCTGCTCGCCGCGTATATCAAATGGCGACGAACGAAGCGCCGAATGGCCAACTAATGTGCGTCGGACACAATTGATTGGCACTTTACTTTGGAGCGGCGCCGACGTGTGTACCCAGTTAGCTGGTACATCCATTTGTATGTATACAAATGTTGGCTTCGGTGGACGAGGGGTGCTAATGTGCAATCGTAAAAGCACCTAATGTATGCCTTTGCGTCCAACTCAATTAATTGCCTACTGCCACTACACAAAATGGCTTAAAGGCATAATTTATACGATACGCATAAAAAATAGACACAACAATCACTATTTGGCAAATACAGGGTGTTCACCAATGGGTATAGGAATATATGCTATGAAAATGTTATTCGAAACTACAAAGAATACAAACTGGAGAAAAAAAACTTACAAGTTTACAAATCTTATGTCAAAACAAGAAAGAATGTTAACCTCGAGATGCCTTCGAGAACCTGATTTCAACCTTCAGTGTCTATGACAGCTATTCGCTGTAGTGATCTCGGTAATGGAGATTCCACCATTGACGGAAGCAAAATTTCTGATCGATATTTCAAAAACTGAGCGACAGTATCTTAAAATACAGTAACTTAAAATATTCATCTCGGAAATGAAAATAAACTGCAAAATTTTTCGCGAGAATATTTTTTTAAAACTGTCGTGGAATCACTCAGCAACAGCGCAGGGATGAACTTTATAAAATTTTTTGCGACAAAGCGCAATCAAGGTCCAATGATTATCAGTATTATGACCAATTCAATCATAGATCACACGAAAACGAATTTCGTAAAGATCGTCCAAAGTCAGTTGTTCCTTCGCAAACTGATATTACCAAATCTTCCGCCATTAATGGGAACACCATAGAAACAAAATTCCATGAACGTTTGATTGAAGAAAATGCCCATAAGTCGAGAGAAATGTGAAAAGAATACGAGAACTTTTCTTCGAATCACGTATACGACAACGTGAAAGGTCATGAATCATGGATTCATACGTAAAGCTCAAAAGTAAATAGCAGTCAAAACGCACTCTTCACCATGACAATGCGGGCTTTCACACACCGAATGAAACAACTGCAATTTTGAGCACTCAAAACATCGATTTGACGAGTCGCCCACCATACAGTCGGGACTCCAAATGACTTCTTTCTATTGTCGTATGAAAAATAAAGAAAGATATCAACGTTTTTAGACTCTTAAAAGGCGGTTAATGACTTAAGAACGCATATTTTGAAGATAGTTCAATCAAAACTCCCAACGTGCGATGACAATTGGTTCAAACCCATGCAAAATTGTATTGATCTTAATGGATAATATTTTGAAAAACAATAAAGCTATTTTCGATTATTAACATTGCTTTTTTTTTTTTTGTTCCCTAAAAGACTACCTGCGAAACCATAGAAAAATTGGCCAGTTTTTATTTAAAATTTATTCCTGTATTCAAACAATCTCATAATTATATTTGTATTATTGTTTCAATGCCTAAAACATGAATTGTAAGCAGTATATACTGTAAAATAAATATGCAAGTAAGGCTGCTAATTTTGTGAAAATACGTAATGAATAGATCGCGAGACCTCGTTTCATAATTTTTCGGATATTAAAGGAAAAACTTCAAACGATCTTATTCATCGCCTATGAGTAAGAAAATAATAGTATCGAGCTTTTTTTCAGCATAATTTTTCGGAATGGTTGACGTTGGAAAAATATCAGGGCGTAAATGAGTGGACCACAAGTTTTTATTTCAAGGAGATAAAAATATTCACTTTGATTTCAAACTCTCAACGTTACCCAGAGGAACATGAAAAATATACTTTATTTTTCAAAATATTTACTCTTAACAATATTTTTACTTCTGTGACTGCTACGCAAATAAAATTGAGATAGGCAATTTAAATTTCCTCCAAAGCTGATTAAATCGACTGGGATTAATAGACAAATTGGCGAGCATTATAAGATTAAAACATTTAGCACAACAGCTGTAGATTTCATAATGCCCAAAAGAATACAAGTTTTTGAAAAAGTGCGACGATTTTAAAGTAAATTAAAGATATTTATTAGCATTTCTATGTAAGCACACGTGTGTATCCGAATACGATGAATGCTACGTAGCGAAAAATAAAAGCAAATCGCATAATAAAGCAAACAAACAAATTGATGAAATAAATTTTATTTTAATTTCCAACTCAACACGATTTCGAACGGCCGCTATAATTTGTTTCATTTGTGGCTATTTATAAAGCCCTTGAAAAAATATACACACAAATATTAAGCTATTACTTTATACCAAATATTCATATCTAAAGTATGCGGCTGTATGTATGTAAATGTGTATGAATATATGTGTGGTTGAATGTTGGCGCAAATATACCCTGCTGGAAGTTGTGTAATCAACTTTTATCACGCTAGTTCGAATTAATTTTCACTGATTTCAAAATAAACAATTTTCCACTTATTACCTGGCGAAATTGTATGTATAGTATGTATGTATTTACGCTTGCTGGGCATTCCAAGCATTCAGATAATAGTATTTTGCTTTTTCTCACAATAACATTACTAATATTAATTAATTTCATATTTACCATGAACAAATCCAATATGCACATGCCTTTTTAATTAATTACATCTAATTCTAAATTTAATTAATTGCGTGTTGGAATTAAAATTTTTACTACTAATTTTGAAGTGGAATATCTGCTTGCTTACAATTTTGGGCCAGCAGAAAGGATTTCAATTTTATTTGTATTTAATTTCAATTTTATTTAATAATTTAATTTACATTTATGACTGCAAATATTTCATACAAGTTTTCATGCATATCGCTTTAGACGCCGTAGTTCAGTGATTACTGGTACATCCTTATACTTTTCGTGACCTAGTTACAATCGCAATTCACAACGAAATAAAATGTTCAATTGCATTGACTCAGGTGGCTTTTCACTCGAATTCATTGGCATAATTATTATGTCAGTCCGATTATGACACGAATTTATCGATTAAACTAAGTTAAGTACATTAAATTAATTTTCAAATCGGAAAGGTTCTTATATGTATATTATGGTCCTTCAACTATGAAATAGTGTAATACTTTTGAGTTTCTTCAGCCCAGAGACTTTGTAGATCTATCACAAAGTCTAGACTCGCATATTTGGGCACAGAATTCATGCTCATTATCGAAATGACGGGTCAATTGAAAACTCGTAGGCTAATTTTTTTTTTAATTCTTTTTTTATGCAATATTGTTTCCTGCAAGAATATAGACTGATTATAGCGACCCTCCAACTTTTCGACACTATTTTTGTAACGCGATTTGCCCTTTGCTTCAAAATTGACCACAGTTTCGGCGATCTTGATGAAGTTTTCTTACCATAGCATTCTTTTGAGCCCTGACAACAGGAAAAAATCAATGGTGCCCAGTTCTTGAAAACACGATGGATGGATGCAAAAGCAATTCGAAGTCAAATTCACGGAATTTTGTTCTCGTTTTCTTGATCTGAGTGATGATGCACTGTCTGGGTGAAAAATCACTTTTGTTTTGTTCAAAGTCGGATGTTTTTCTGCGATTTAATCCTTCAAACGATTCAATATATAATTGTTGCTGTTGGTGGTCCCTCCTTCTTCAAGGTAGTCAACAAAAATTAGTTCATGTGCATGCCGAAATACAGTTGCCATAACCTTGTTGGCCGATTGTTGCGTTTTTCCATGCTTTGGAGCGGGTACGTCGTGTTCGTGTAGTCAACTCGGATGGCTGCCGATTGGACTTCGTAGTGAAATTATTGAGCCATGTTTCAACCAATGTCTCATATCGGTGCCAAAATTTTAGTTTACATCTCCATACAATGCTCCGAATAACTAAACCATTTTTGGACAAAAGTGAGCTCGCACGGCACCCACTTTGCACACAATTTTTTTTTTTACTGAAATATTCGTGTATACGTTCAGTTGATATCTTTGGAGTGCATGCTATCGCAAACCACTTCACTTTACAGTCATACAAAATTGTTTTCTGTACTTTTTAGATGTTTTCGTCAGTAACAACCTCGACGTTCTCTACATTTTCCATCTTCGGTGGTCATTTTACCACGTCTAAACTTACGAACTGTTTCCGAAAAAGTCGTCATCAAGCCAAGTGTTTGCTGCAACTGTATATTTTCCCTACAAAAAGTAATATTTTATCAAAACGCGATATTTCTTTTTTCCATTTTTTTGACAATAACAAAAGTAGCTTCACTCAAAATGGTATAGTTCACAAACTAACTGTCAAATTTATACAAGCGCCATTTAAAACCTTTTCTATTGATCTTTTAAAAAGCCGTAGTTGTCTGTTGGAATACGGCTAATATCTTTCCAGCAACTCTTCGAATCCTTTCGAATAAGAAGAAAAGTAGGTAAAGTGTGAAGTTAAAGGCTAGTTAGTTAGTTTTAGAAAACCCTATTGTCCTTACATCATTTTGTGACAGACCATACCTATTTCCATTAAAAAAAATTGTGGAATCCCTGCCAAAAAACAATTTTAAGCTGACTTAGAAATTATGATAGAATTTTTTCATTCCAAAGAGGCGAATAAATCTCCGCAGAGTGTCTGGTATTATTCATTGGTGCAAACTTAGAGAATTTTTATTGAAAATGTTCTGCAAATTAGAGATTTTTTAAACAGTTTGGCTTTTTTTTGGAATGATGGAGCTCTTTTTTTGTGACTACTATTAAAATTGAGTTATAAGGTTTACAAAAAAATACATCATAGACGGCTCACACATAAAATCAAAAATGTTGAACCATCTCTCCCGAAGTTGCAATGCATTTAAAGGAATAATCAAATGATTTCACATTTAATCTAAGCCTATTTGTTTGCTATTAATATAAACTCTATTGATAAAATTTTGCCTGTATATTTTGAGCAGTTATTTCAAAAGACAATTTATATGATCTTTATGCTTTCCATGCACTGGTTCTATACTTCTGGACGAAATTCCAGTGTTTGTAATTCATCATTTAAAGTTTTAAATACATTTAATTATATCAACATTTAGAGGTCTCTAATGATAAAACCGATGATTTTAATTTAAAAAAAATGGTTAACTTCCCTAAAGCGTGTTTCTTGCTAGGCAGCTTTTTGAGAAATCTTATTGATTACTTGATGAGTGCCGCATATTTTATGACTGCATGCGTGTCAGCGTCTGTATGTATGAAGATTATGAGCATATTTTTATATGCTAATGACCATGTGAAACAAGCCAGCAACAACCACTTAAAATTGTTTCATTTCATTGAAAGCACAAGAAGCCGAAATAAATCACTTCGACCGAGTTCAAGAGCAAATCAAATAAAAAGAACTGTTTTCTAAAGTGGACGGCAATCCACGAAAGCCTTAAATACATACATATCTTTATATATGCATATGTATGTATGTATACATCAAATCAGTTGTGTTTGTATATTTTTGTGTATATATGTGTGTGATGGCCGACATATTGCACAACTGCAGTTATATACGATTTAATAAGCGGATTTGTTGTTACCAAAAGTTATAAAACTATTTAAATAACAATAATGCTATCCAAATAGCATTAGTGTGCATATGAATTATTTTTCATTTATTTTTGTTTCGAATGAATTGCAATTGTAGTTGATATTTAATCTGATTTTTGCGCGTCACAATTCATGTAAGCTTGGAAATTCATTTTAGTTACTTGCATACATATGCACATAAATACAGTTATATAATATATAAATATATATAAGTAAACACACAAATACGCTCATACTTTGAACCCTTTTCACGTTTGCTGCTGCCACCTTTCCGACTGGAATTTCCATATTGCTGTTGGCGATTTTTCGAACTTTTCATTAAACTTGCTCGTTGCACAGAAAATCAATATTTTTTTCGTTTAACACCTTTTACAAGTGAAATTGAATTCAATTTGCTGAATTCAGTAAATCAGACAATCAATGAGCACGCCAGCGAGTATATTCAACATTTTTATTTTTTATTGCTCACACTTTACACCGTTAAAAATATGGCATAAACTCGTTGAGCTTCACAATTTTCTACGCAAATTCATAAATATTTGCCAACGTTTTGTATAGATTCTGTCACATTTGCCGCACACACTTGCATCGAATTTCAATGCAACACAGCGCTACTATAATTACCGCGTCCTTGCCTCCACGTCCGCATACGAATTAACAATTTATCGATCTGGTTATCATGACAACTGAAATCAATATCCGAGCAGGCGCGTCCAAATGCCGTTATTAACAAACACATACGCGCCACAAATGCCGTGCTGCCGCCAACTGACAGTATCGTAAAACTGACATTTGTGCGGGATCACTTTTTGGCCAATGCGCCTGACAGCGGTGTACGCGGCTGACGTCGTCGTCATTACCAACAGGGTAGCCACAACCGTAAATTATTAAGCATTTCGATGTGGTTTCGACGATCGCTTTGCCATTGGACACGATTTCGCTGAATAGCGGCGGTGAGTGGTCGCGCGTTCGTTTGTTGTTTCTATTATTGTATAGAATAACTGATGGCAGATCGAAAAATAAAATAAAATTAAAGGCTAAAAAAAATTCATTAGCTCAAATCGATCTGAAATATATATGGTAAACGCGCGTATGTGTTGCGTAGAGCGTGGACGGAAGCGTTTTGTAGACGAAATATATGGTAAGCGCTCATTATGTATTTATTTGTTTGTGCTAATGAAAATATTTTAATAACGCTCAATAAAGCAACAAATCATTGGCATTTGCCGCGGCTGCTCTTTTTCGTTTTGAGTTAGTTTTATTTGAGCGCATTTCAAATGAGCGAAAAGTCGCTAAACTCATTACTCCTTAAATTGTGTCTTTATTAACATAATGAAGAACAAAATTTAGTGTAGAAATTAAATATATAACTGTAATTAAACTATAGGACATATTTTGCTTAGAAGCTGGTTTCCAACAGCAGCGCATGATACCAAGTTAATTTTCTTAGTAACGAGCACAGTTACTTTTTTCGCTTTCACTTGCAAGTAAGTGCGAAACGAACACTCACTAAAATAACAAAATCAATAACATCAACAAAAATTCTCAACAATGTCTCTCAAAGCACTATTAACAGTAGTATGGAGCGTAGGTTTGAGAGCAGAAATATTGTTAGTATTATACACCCCGCGAAATATTTATAAATCCGCCGCCTAATTTCATTCTTTTCTTGAAAAAATTGGCGTCCATAAATCGTGCATCTTACATAAACATATGTCATTACATTTGAATTATTTCATATTCTCTTTTTTTTTTTTTTTTTTTTTTTTTTTTTTTTTTTTTTTTTTTTTTTTTTTTTTTTTTTTTTTTTTTTTGGTTTTGATCGCACTAGGTGGCAAATTAATATGAACGAAATATTTATAAAGCCAGATGGCACTTATCTGTTTCCTAGTTGCTGTTTTGTTCTGTTTTCTAGCTGTAACCGACTCGACTACAAGTGAGTTATATTGTGGCAAAAGTAATTTAATTAGCTAATTAGTTTCACAAAATCTTTAACTTTTTGAATTTTTGAATTTTTGAATCTGAAAAATCTTATATAACTAAATTTACCTTTCATTAATGGAACAATTGACCCCACCTTAGACTCTCACTTCCAGAAATACTACTAGTAATTGCAATAACGGTAACTGTGTCTGTGCCATGACATTTTCAATATTTTCTCTAGCATACTATTCGTCGTTCTTGACTTGAAACGCTTAGCCCTCTAAATATTTAACAATATATATGTATGACGGCTGCATTGAACCCTTCATACATTTAAAGTACCATCAACTGATTTTCAAACTTGTTGCTCTTAACTCTGTGTACTTCTAAATCAGGTTCGATCTATCTCAGCTGTACTATTATTTTAACAAAAGTTTTTAGTTTCAAAGAATAAAAAATGTAAAATATACAAACAAAGAATGTTTCGCTTATTAAAACAATGTTCAGAATTAAATACTATTAGCTAAAACAAATTATTATTATAAACATATAGAAACTAAACTAGTCAGTGCAAAAAACAGTCACAAGCTTACCAAATTCTATGAATTTGGCATTTAAATGAAAGTGGCGCTTTGTGTGGAACTTTAGTTTTAAAAACTAGTTAAATAAAATATTATGATTTTATAGAAAACGAAACTTTTAACATTAGATTTATACCAGTGCACAAGTAGTTCTTTGAAAGCTCATACCCAACATCAGGAACATGATTCAATTTGGATAAAAATTGCAAGGCGCGGGAGGTTATATGCATAGAATTAATATCAAATATTTCATATTATTGAATAGTAAAAAAGACTTTTAAGAAATCTGACTAAATTTTGTAAGATTTTAAGATGTCCTGCTAGCAATTACAGTCATATTCCTAAATTCATACTTATGCGTCCTCGCCGCGACTTGTGTAAGAGGCGGTAGCCAAACCGTGTGGAGCCTGGAGTCATCGCTAGAAACGACGAAGCTTCTGCAGAGCAACACCGCCATATTCGGTTTAAGGGTTCGCTGAAGTCTAATTGAACCGTCTGTTCACCAGAGGTGCGGTTTCGAGCTGGCGTCGGTCTTGAAACAAAACATTACATAAATGTGTATAAAATATTACATTTATTACACACTGTGCGCTGGGTTTGAACACGCCATGTAGAAGCCACTCACTATGAAAAAGAAAGGTTCAAATAGCAATTACCCGTATAAAGAACAACATAGCGACAGCATCCGAGGGATTACCGGCCGAGCTATCCAAATACGGTGGCGAAGAACTGACAAGCTGCATACATCAGCTTCTTTGGAAGATATGGTCGGTTGAAAACATGCCCGTTAATTGGAACCAAGGTGTGCTCTGCCCAATCCACAAATAACCCCACAATCTGCACCTATTACCGAGGGTAGTGTGGACTGAAGCCCACCGTTAACAGACTGATTGGATTTTATCAGTATAGTTTCAGCCCTGGAACCCGTGTAAGAAAGGTCGGCATGCATCAACTCTTCTTCGTTCTTAAAGACGCCTTCGACAGCACGGGACGATATGTGAGAACGCGGTAACCCTGCATAGCTAATACAGCACAGTAAGCTGGCGTTCAACAACGCCAAAAGCTCCGTTACGATCGGGAAGAACCTCTCCAAGCCGTTCGATAACAAGCGACCTCAACGACCGTGCCGTTAGTGCTGGTTTTTCTAGAGTAGATAGGAAGCGTATTGGTCTAGTTGTGAACAAGGACAAGGACAAATATCTTCTGTCACTGTTGAGATTCATAACTTTGAAATCGTAGATAAATTTGCCTACCTTGGAACCAGCATCAACTCCACGAAAAATATCAACCTTGAAATCTAACGATTGAAAAGTAAAGTTCTTTCGCGGAAAATTTATGCTCCTTTGCGCATATACGGCGACGCTGACAAAATTCAGAGATAGCACCTACGCTGACAAGGTCATGTTGTTCGGAATAGATCATTCCAGCTTCGATGGTTTTCGATTCAGTACACGCCGGTGGAGAAAGACTTCCAATCCGTTGGAGAGATCAGAGGGAGAAGGACATTGTGCACTTGATAACTCGAATTGGCGCCAAATTGCGAAAATCAGGAGCACTCCGCATAAGGGGTGTCTACGCCAATAAAGAAGAAGGGGAGTCTATAACTACTGTTCAAAAGAGCTAAAGCATCATTAGAGACAATTTTTCGCTTTATGCATATTACAACAAATACACATACATATATATGAATACTGGGTGTTAAAGTCTAGAGTTTGGTACCTCAAAAGATGAGAGCATTTTTGAAACTTTCTGTATTTTGAACGCCGCGCGTGTTTGTTGTTACCTTACCTAGCTACAAATAAATTTGCTTTACAGTAAAGTGATATTATAACGGTATTAAATTTATAAGAAAAAACCACTTAAAGTCAATTTAGTTATATAAATTATATATATTTTTTTTTTTTAATTACAGTTTGCTTCACAAATGCCACAAATTATAAAAAGTTCCATTTGGATTCTGCGTCAAAGTCATAATGAATATAAATAAAAAAGTATCCACACATTTAAATCGCTTCATAATTAAAGTGAATAACCCGCCCGCCAGAGCGCAACCCCATTAAAAATGCAAAAAACTTACGCACTTGAAAACTATGCTTAACAATACAATTTGCATTTTTTTAGCAATTTTTGCTATTTTTATTTTTACAACAGCAACAAATAAAATTTTTGTAATCGCATTAAAATTCAATTATCCTCAAAAACGATATTTCCACTGAAATACTCACTGCTAAGTGTTATGAAAATCAATGTACTGAATAAAGGGTCTACATTAATACACTAGTAAAGAGAGTCAAGTGGAGTTTTGCATCAAATTATATTCACTTTAGTTGTAATTTGTATGTAGGTTTATATGGTTATAGATAGCAGTGTACAACACCGCAAACACAAAGTAAGAGTTAATGCTACTAATTATAGTAAATATGTGAGTTCTTATATTACATAAACTCATGGATCTAGTAGTTTAAAGCTGCATTATAATTTAATTATTATTTATTTTTGTACATACCAAACTAGATAAACAAATACGATATATAGTGCGTTTTGCATATATGTATTTGTATTTGTGTCACTTCATTTCTACGATGAATTCGACGCAACTTGATTTCCGTTTAAAAATATAAAATGTGTCTAAAGAAAGACTTAAAAAACTTATAGTATACTAATTGTACCTTCACTATTCAGCTCTACAACTCGAATTATTTTCTCCAACTGTAGATTGAAAAAGTCGCACGATAAGGAGTCGCCTTGTCTGAAACCTCGTTTGATATCAAACGACTAGGAGAGGTACTTTCCGATCGTGACGGAGCACTTGGTATTTTTCAATGTTAATTAAGAATAGTATAGAGGTGTTATATAGTACGAGCCTAGCGTCCATTTGACTGGGTCATTTCTCGATATTAACGAATACAAAATTTTGCACGCAATTTGTCCATGTTTAGACTGGAAACATAAAACGGCGCACCGTCTTACTAGAAATAGAGATCATACGCTTCGATATCATCAAACTCCGAGGTAAAGGGTCAGTCAAAATCATGCTTTAATGCGCTATATTAAGGATAGCTGCATTTCCTGACTCATTTCCGATGAAATAAGATCTGATGATGTCGCCACACCACAAGTCGCAGCAAACGGTCAATTTTTGAGAATACAAATGCTTTCCCCCAACCACGCGAATATTTCACACATCCCAATAGTGACAATTTTTTAATTGACGAAGCTATTAAGCC